GTATGAATAAGAGTTTTAATTATGTTGTCAGGCTTAGGTGGAAGAAGTTTGAAGGAAGGGGAAGTAGTCTTAACTGGCCAGTAGGATCCATCTAGTGATATCATATTTCTTTCATTTACAGGAAGGGGTATTTTGGAGGTAAATCTTGCTTATAGCAGGTCGCGCATAGGTGTCCAAGAAATAACTGGGTAAGCCAGTACTTGTAATTTGGATATCAAAAGGATTAGCCTTTTGTAAAAGTTATATAAATTTATATTGTATAATGTAAAAAGTTATAATAGTCTAATAAAGTATATGGCAAGACTGCCGAAATGGTTAAAAAAAAAACTATTATATTTGATTTAGTTTAGTTTTAATTGATTTTTAATATAATTTAAATTAATTTCTAATATTAAAAAACTAATTTTACTAATTTTAATATTAAATAATTTTAACAATTATAACAAAACTTTTTATTAAAAAGAGTAATTTCACTTCTATTTATACAAGTAGCTATGATAAATAGATAAGTAGCTACTATATAATAAGTAAATAAGTATATATAAGGGGCTGCTAATAGAAACCAAGCAAATTGTTTTTAATGAGTTTTTTTAAAAATTTAAATCAAAATATTTTAACAACTATTAAATTAAACTTGATAAATTTTTTTTATTTTAATTCTATAACTACATAATATTAAAAAAATTTTATCAAGTTTGGTTTAATAGTTGGTGAGATATTTTATTTTAAAGTTTTAAAAAAATTTACTTAGAAACAATTTGCTTGATTTCTACTAGCAGCCCCCATATAATAAACAAATAAGTATATATGTTATATGTCTAAATAGAATTATTGCGAATTTAGAATCCACTTAGATTGGAAATGTAACTCAAGTTGATATGAAATTTAAAAGCAACCTAAGTTGATTCTAAATTTAATAATTGCAAATTTTGATTTTAATCTTGATGCCACAGCAGGGCTTAACCCACTATATTAATTTGCTGGCCATTTATTGCGCTATTGCTATTGTTTAAAGTGTTCTTTTTGATTCATCAAAATTAGTATATTGTACATCTTATTGTTTACTATACCAGCCAATTACTATCTAATCTACTATAGATTAAGAATGGTACTTTCAAATGGCTAGCAAATCAATATAGTGGGTTAAGCCAGGACCCCTAACAATCTATATAAAGATCATATTTGAAAAATTGCTATTATAGGCCCTTTTTTAAAAAAAAGTTATATTTAAAAACTGCTAATCACTCAATAAGATATATTTAAATTTTTGCTAATTGAATATGTATTTTAAATCTTATATTTAAATTGTGCTAACAAAAAATAAAATGTAAATTCAGTTTTTTTTTAGAAAGAACACTTTTGTTTTTTTTTAGAGAAAGACACTTCTGTTTTTTTTTTTTTTTTTTAGAGAAAGACACTTCTGTTTTTTTTTTTTTTTTTTTTTTTTTAGAGAGAGAGACACTTCTGTTTTTTTTTAGAGAGATACTCTTGATTTTTTTTTTTTTTAGAGAATCTTATATTTTAAAAATTGATAACAATGGCTAAAATTCCAATCTAATATTTGAAATATAGATAATATATATCAATATAAAATTGCTAACAAAAAAAAAAGTAAAAAGTTACTATGATGCCCAAATATAAGCTATATATAGATTATTCGGGGGCCTGTTAAGCCCTGTGCCACAGTAAATGTGTAATTGATTGATGTAACAATTGTTAAATAAATTGCATCACATCGTCATGATAAATTGTCAAGATAAAATGCAAATTTTTTATTATTTTATTATTTCACTTTTCGTCCTTTGCAAAAACATTCTTTCTATTTGATAACCAAATCTCAAGATTATCCATTTTTGCTTTCCAAATATCTTACCGTATTTGCTCGTAATAACGCGCAGGGGCGTTATTTTGAGTTACAGCCAGAGTTAAGCTTAATTCATGCCGAAATTCAAAATTACACCCCTGTGCATTATTACGGGCAAATACGGTAGCAACAAATCGACTAATAGTCGACGTAAAACCTTTATAGCACGTGAAGGTTTTGATTTTTGAATAGGGTTTTACGCAAATGTAAGAAAACAATCGAAAGACACTCTCCCTGCAAGAATGACACATATTACTTGGATACAATCCGCATTATTAGATTACTTATAAGTTTCTAGAATAAGATACAGTGGTACAGTCGACCCTGGAATATGAACGTTCCTATAACGATCTTCAGATATAACGAACACAAAAATTTTCTATAGCGAATTTTTTTTTCAGTGTCTATTATGCAATCTTCCTCACAAGTAGATAATATTAAATGCAAATGCAAAAAAAAGCGTATGAAACAAATATGTACCATGCGGAAATACTAATCATGGGATGTAAAACTTCAATGTAATGCTTTAATTTAATTATAATAAATTCTGTCTTAAGCGACTTAAATTTCAAAATAAAGTACTCGATGAAATAATTTGGAATACACTTAATTTTAGTGTAGGTTGAATTGGAATTCTTTAACAACTCAGGCACATTTTAGAATTCTATTACAACCTATGTTTATTTGAAATCAACCTAGGTGGATTCTAAATCCACAATAATTCAATTCCGACGTACGACATATATACTACACAGCCTTTCTTTTATCTAACTAAAAACATTGGACTAGGTATTTCCAGAATTGCACTTATTGAATCCAAATACTTGATTGCTCTCAACGTCAATTTAGAAGTCAATTATATATTTATGTGTAAAATTTTGATTAGAATTTTGAATTGAAATTATTCAAGTGTTAGATTATTGTGCGCTTGATACGTAATATAAAAAACTAATTAGAGTGCATGTCAGTGGTCGTTAGAAGCAAAACTAGCTAGTAAAATTGGCTAGTAAAATTTGCAAAAATTATCAAAATAGCTTATTACAAAATCTATGTTTGCCAAATATAAATTTTAATGTATGCTCTTTAATCTATCATTTTAAGTTCTCTAGTAATCATTTAAAACTTGCATATACACGTAATTACTCGTTTACATAAATCAGTTTAAGAACAAAAGTAATAGTCGCATGCTTAGTACAAAAGTAGCAAAATTTGCATCTTAGTGTTGCTAGCTATTTTGCGCTATTTTAGCTATGCTGCGGATGAGATACAAAGATGACTGGAGATAGTTTCCTTTTCTTCCACTGATAATCAAATCGAAATCATTTATTTACGTTCATGTTTAGATAAATAAAAACACCAACCACAATATAAGACTATAATTGTCAATAAAGAGTATATACATTAGGTTATAATAAAGCCAAATCTCAATGTAGAACTTTCTACAAAATTATTCATTAACTGCTTTAAACCATTCTTAAACACGATGTTCACATATTGATGTTAGTAACACTTATTTATCTAACACAAAATATTTAATTGTTCGTGTAAAAAAGCACAATGATAACAATAAGGCAAAAAAAAGAAGAAAAAAAAGGTTTTATTGGTGCAATTTCTTCGGCAAAAATCACTCAAAATTTTCTTGGGGCAAAATAACCCAAAACTGTAAAATAAAAATTTTAGTTCACATAGCCACATGACAGAAATCACGTAAGAGAACAGAACTGGATTCTACGGTAAACAACAACAACTAATTATATCGAAATCAAAATTTTGCCTGCATAAATAATAAATAAACATAAATAATGATTTACTACTTTAAGATGAGGGATTTTTGCTGAGGGATTTTTGCCAATACATCACGTAACGATGTACAATCAAATTTTAAGTTGTTTACAGATGGTTGATTTAATATAAATACGCCTGCCAAAAGCCCTCCCTCAAAATCAGAACGCAATCACTGAAATATAACTACCAAACAACATATTCAACTTTATATTCAAACTTCATATTCAATCTTAAGAATTTCTCAAAATGTGCGACGACTGCAGATGCGGAGACTCTTGCCAATGTGCTGGTTGCAATTGCACCAAATCCAAAGTTTTCGTCGATAAACAGGTTGAAACTGACCCTGGCTGTGGTAACAGGTAATTATTGCAAAAAAAGAGTTTTGATACGATATGAATAGTTCTCGTACTAATAACCCTTATACTTTCCGTCCATAGCACCTGCGACTGTGGAGAAAATTGCAGCTGCTCTGAATCGAGTTGCAGATGTTAATTCTTTCATAATCACGCCTTATATTTTATATTGCAAAGCAATACTGTTCGTTTTTTTATAGCAATATTGTTTGTTCTTTTATAATGACATCTTTTTTACCATGTCAAACTTCGTATATTTTTTATTTTATTTTATTCTTTTTGTAAGAATGAAATTCATTTTTAGCTCTCAGATATATATTTTATTATGTTATATTATATGTCCTATCAAAGTAAATTTATTGATGTAGTTCCAGAATTTTTTTAAATCAATAAATATCATAAATCTCAAGTTCTATTGTTAATTTTTGTGTGTACAGTCAAACCTCTATATATGCACGCTCTATAAATGCACACCCTCTATAAATGCACCCTATGTCTCAGTTCCAACTAATAATGACACTTATAAAATTACTCTCTATAAATGCACACCCTCTACAAATGCACACTTATGGTCGGTCCCAAGGGGGGGTGCGTATATGGAGGTTTGACTGTAATAAGTTCTCTGTCACGGCTACGTATGCCATTGCTACCGTATGTCTGATATGTGCATACATACACATACATACACATACGTCGTACGTGGTTGTGCTTGATATCAGATATGAGAAATTGCTATTATAAGGTCGGTAAGCCAGGTTAATCATTAACCAACGAGAAGAATGTTTGTTTAAAATAAGTTGAATAACGATTAGAATGTAATGTCCTTGTAACATATTTCATGACCCTAAAATAAAATAATAAAAATTAATACGTCGTACTGACCATAATGATAATTAAATCCACGCATATACTTTAACGGTGATGGTGTTACAAATTAGCTATTTATATCCAACCGGTTGTTACAATTATAATAATGACATTTCTTTAACACTCTCAATATGGAAACGGTTACAGTTAATACTAAACAAGACGATAACGATAATGATAATAACCAAGGCAGAGCGTTGGTATTATGGAAATATAATAATCCATTTTCAAATTACAAGCAGGATCCTGAGAGAATTTTTGTTTTTAATGGATTCACTCGTAAATAATCAAAATTTCTGTATCTAATGCAATTTTTAAAATATCGATATTACATATTAATCCTTTTTTTTTTTTTTTTTAATGTGAAATTCGAACGGAATTTTAAAGTCAAGATATCACAAAAATTATCTGACCCAATTGATATTACACAAAATACTGGGAATATAGTTTGGGATGGGGTAATCATAATGTTATCTAGCTCATCTTTAATTACTCGTTTATACCAAGTTTTTTTCTGATCGTTCTTATACGTCATTCGTTTTAATTAAAGGCATATCTATTAGGCAAATACATAGCAGACCACCTTAATCTTGATCATTTGGCCGGCACCAGCCGTCGAAGAAAAATCAGATTTATAGAACTAGGCTCGGGATGTGGTCTTGTTGGATTAGTTGCTTGGCTTACAGGTACTCTCTATTTTTTTTTTTTTTTCACGGTACATCAATTATTTAATTTTTGTTTGTTATAATAGGTGGATACGTGGTTTGTACAGGTACACCCCAAGATATCGAACACACAAAATTCAATATTAAACAAAATGTTGAACATGTTATGAATCAACAACAGCAAAACCAATTTGTGTACAACAAAAAAGGTGAAGACGATTTAGTTGAAATAGTTGAAAGTAAAAGTAGAAACGCTCATACACAAAAAATGTCGCAAAATTTAGATTTATTAGATAAAGATAATATTCAAGTTCATATTCTAGATTGGTATGTCTTATGTTCTGATTAAACTACCTTATCATCATTAATAATTTTTTTTATAAATACTTTAGGACATCACTACCGACCACTGAAGATACAACAAACCCACTTCATAAATCAAATATGCCATCATTTGATATAATTCTAGCATCAGAAATATTATACCTACCAGATTTACATAAAGATTTGGTCAAAACCATTCGTTATTTTAGTCATTTAAAACATGGAAACGATCAGGATACCTATTCTGAAAAAGAAATGAATTCGGAAAGTGAAATGAAATGCAATACACGAGTTTTAGGAATCTATAAACAACGTGGGTTAGGTGAAGAACAGTTCTTCAAAATTGCTCAAGTTTTCGGAAAGCTTAGAGTTGAATGGGTAATTTCTTGCTTAAAAAAATTGTTATATCATTTTACAGTTTTCGAATATTGGTCATATAATCTCTTTCTGAATAGATTGATACCTCTTGGATTGATCAATCTTCTATTGAATCTCATGTGAATCAATTTTCGTCAACAAACTCGTCTACTTACTCTGCGTATAAAATGTTTTGGTTAATCCCTGATTCCTAATTTTTTTTTTTCCGAAAAATTAATATCATGGCTTTATCCCTTAAACCGTCTAGCGGGCAAATTTGCCTGCTAAAATGATTTTTGAAAAGTTTTTTTAAATTTTCTCAAAATTTATTTAAGCCTGCTCCCCCTATTTCTTTAGTA